TATATATATATATATAATATATTACTAGAAAGGCACCAGGTTCCACAGTTTGTACAATGAATCCGTTATTGTGGTTGTGACTCTGGATTTCTTTTATGTGTATCATGTTCCAGAAGCTATAAATTTTGACAAATATTGGCCTCTTCTTCAGTAATTGCTTCTTACAAAATGGTCTGTTCATTCTTCTGATTAACCATTTTGTACCACTGACTTTGGAATGGGTACTCTCAGACAGGATTGGTCAAATATATATCTGTGTGCATACCCTTCTCTTCATCTCAGTTGTTTAATGCAAATAAAAGGAACATAGTTTGAGAGTTCTATAAGCCAATCCTAATAATGTTTTCCAAAGTAATAATCTAAGCTGTCCCCAAAAACTGACCAGGTGATGAAACTGATCTGATAAAACTAGAAACACAAGAAAGGTCTTCAGAGGTTTGACCAATAACAAGTTTAATTCAATGATTGAGATTAGTAAAGGAGTGATGTTGATCAACTGGAATCAAAATTAAAATGTTCAGTTCAAACACTATAACAATTAAGGACAAAGTCGTTTTTAATGAATTTGTTTTTCTGGGTGTTCAATTTGCATACTTATCTACACTAACAATTCTATATTTGAAATATTTACTTCTAATATCAAAATAATTTACGTAAGGACTTATTTCTTGATAGCTTCCCAGATATTTCCTTCCTTATCTGGATGTCTTAAAACATTAGCCTTCTGCAGCTACAATACAGGTAAATAAGGTGGATGGTGCTGATAATTTATTAGAAAATTTGTTAACGAATGACATCAAAAGGATGGTGCAAGAAGAAAGTTAGAGAAAACTAGCTTTACAGTAGATAAGCTACATGACTGTTAGAACCAATTACTAATTTCAATTAAACTTATAATACTAAAAGTGTAGATTTTTATTTAATTTTGTTAATATTAGAAGTATTGTTTCTCATTTCAATAAAAATTTCCTCCCTTTTAAGTTTGGTGGCTCTTATTATATTTATATAAATTTATTTTCTGCAAATTTAACTAATGTCTTTTTTTTTTCAGACACCAAATGGAAGAACATATAATTCCAAAAGAACTTAATCATGATTACATTGAAGATAATATGGTTGAACTTCCTAGTGATGTTATAGACTTTCAGAGAAAGCTTAAAGAGCAAACTGTTAGAAATCAACTCAAAGAATATCGAAGAAGAAGAAACCATGTTCAAGGTCTGCTTAAACGTTATCCTAACATTGACATGGAAGCTTTAAGAGAACAATATCCTGATGTTGATATTGAGGCTATTAAAAGAAAAATAGCATGATATATTCAAATAAATTTTAAAAATGTCACACTTTAAAGATAGATAGTTAACTTGTATTTGTTAAATGAATTGATGGAGCATATTCTTAGGAATATGAAAGAGATGGTGACTATTATTTCTTCAGGTATATTTTGCTTTATTAGATACAACAATATAGGTTTTCAATTGCTTGGAAGGCAGCAAACATCTGAAACATGAGAAATTTCAAAATACATGTTTGGCCATCATTTTTGTTACTTTCTCCAGCTGTAAACCTGGTAGTTTTATGAAGTGTTATAAACAATACATAAACTGAACAACTCTTTATTTTAAATTGACTTTTACTTGCAAGTTATACAGTGAATTGTAACCATGTTGTAAAGTAGATTCAGATGGGTAAAAAGTTTCTTCTGAGTTACTAAGTCCTGCTTCTAATTCATAACAAATGTGAGAAATCGCTTGGATACAGATTTTTTTTTGGTTACTGATAAATATCAACCAAAATATTTAAACATTTTTAACATAAATGAATTTATAGATTACAGATTAACAAGCTGTTTTTGACATCTTAAAAATATCAGAACTGTTCACATTCAAAATTAGCTCCACTTAAGATTTTACTTGAAGAAAAACAATAAATGTAATAGAAAAAAAGACTGACCAGTTATTTTTAAAATTGTTTTACTTGTATACAATTGTTATCAAGTATACTAATTCCCTAGAGCAAAGTTTAATTGCTCTAACAGAAGATTCATCAGAAAATGTGTTGTAGAGTGACTTATTAATTTTGATTTGACTGGATCAAAAGAAAAGACCTGAATAAAAAGTTTGAAAATAAAAACATTACATATTAAGTCAGTGGAATGCTTGCTGAAAACAAGATCTACACTGAAAAAAATCAACTCCTGCTTTTGCATTCGAATAAGGGTAACTCTCCCAGAATGCTTTTGTCATCTACGTCAACTGGTCATTCTTATTAATAAAGTATGTGTAAGGTAGAAAGTTTTGGTGAATAGGTGGTCAGAGGCCTGGACAGGGTAGTCATTTGTCAACATCCCTGTAAGATGACTGCTATTTAACAATATGAGCTCAATGCTACTAGTAGGTAGCAGTTTCCCTACTGATTTGACAATTCAGAGCAGCATTTGGACAAAGAAACAATTTGTAAGTTATCAGAAATAGACTTCATAAGATTGGTCCATATTTCAGGTGGCCAGTGGTATGTGTTCCTCTAATCCATTACCACAAAATAACCCATCATCAGTTGGATAAAGAACATATGGATTGATCTCACTGCATGCGAGGTCCACCTTTTGAAAACTTTTTAGGTAGGATTTCCTATTTTTGTTCTCAGATAAATGACACTTTATAGTACAGCTGGATGTGAAATGACTACTGTATATTTTGAGATTGGATGACACCAGATCCAACTCCAAGGAGGAAAGAAGTGCATATGGCAGTGGTGGCATGCTGACTAGGGTATGGATAGATCAGTATCAATGACAATGCTGACCTTTACATATTCTGATACAACACTATATATATATATATATATATATCACAGAATGTAAGATTTTTGTCTTACAACCATTAACGATGCCATATGGAGGTGCAGTTGGGAAGATCTTCCTTATGCATGACCCTAATATGCTGAAATGGTTAGCAGCTTCCTGGAAGAAGACAGTATTGAGTTAACTGACTGTTCAGCACCCTCCCCAGACTTTAGTCTGATTCAACATGTGTGAGATGCTTGACCCTCAAACAGTGTTGATGAAGGAATGGGTCATAGTACCCCAATGATCAATTCATTTTAAGCATGTCATTTTAATGCCTTGTTAAGAAAGAACGTTTATTGGATTGCAATGTGTATAATACTGAATGAGCATATGTAAACATGGACTTCAGTAGTAGACAATTCAGATATTAGTACACAAGCTGTTGCTTGATACTTGTTTTGTATAAAAATTAACTCCTAAGTGCCACTGTTATTATTTTTTTATTACAGCATTTTCCTTGACATTGCTATAGCTATAAAATCAAAAACTCCAATTGTCCTTTAATTGATTTGTACTTTTCAATTCTATACAAAATATCAGAAAATAACTTTTCCAAAATTTACATTAAAAGTATAGTTAAACCATTTTTACTTTATGAAACGTAATTTATTGATAATAAGCAAGCATATTTTTATAAGCTATATATATAAAACAACATTTTGTGCAACACCCCTTAAGTTTAGAAAACATACAGTTCTGAGCAAATTATGTAAAACATCTTTAGTCCCAAAGTAACTTTTAAGCCAAACAAAAGTAAAAGATTAGACTCTCGGTCAGTTTTTTTCAAAAAGCTTTATCAAAAGCATTCCCTCTTCCATATTTGGACTCCTTTTATAATTTATATTTGAAAATTGCTAAATTAAAATATCCTTATATGTAAACAAAACATTGAAAAATAATTTTAATTTATCATGCTTGTTCATCATAAACAATCAACAAAGACTCCTATCTAAGAAAAGAAAATATTCTAATATTCAAACTGTTTCAACAAACAGACTTTTTATTAAATATCAGCATGATAAGAAATAGTTCTAATGACATAACACCTATCAAAGGCTTTCCCCTTTTGAACCTTAAATGGGGCAAAAAGAAACCCAACTCCAGAAGTGACTTACAAATGGCTAAAGTCAATCAGAAGGTTGTCTAAACCATTGGCAATGATGTGTTAGGTACTCAATGAGACTTAATAATGGTTGGCCATCCTACCAGAATTCTTTGGTAGTGTCACTTTTTTTGGAAAAGGTCAAATATAATGCAGCCAATATTTGCTGTCTCACCAACATTCTCTATTAAGAAGGAATTGGACATTTATAGTATGCTAAATTTGTGGCTCACCCAATCACTTATTCTGGATTTGTCCACCAAACAGTAGCAAGACCTAGCAACCATAAACAGAACCTCATACCTAAGTTAAGAGGTACACTTGTAGTTGGCCTGATCCACATTATGAATCAAGATGCTGAAAGACAATGTAATCATGGTCTAAGCAATAAAGAAAATATTCTCATTTAAAGAAGTTGGTATTAATGACAGCAGTACAGTGACCTTTTATGTGGATAAGAAAGATATAATATCCATAGTAGTCATCTTCTAACTTATGTATGGTTAGCAAAAGGAGATACAAAAAAAAGAGAGACTGGAGAAGCTGTGACTTGGGTCCTTACAGGGTCACTAAAATTGTAGTTGATTTTGGTATTTTCGATTGAATTTGAAACAAGTACTTATTGTACAAAAAATTATGGGCCAAGCTTAGGAATTTCAATTTAAAACCATAGGATACTGCAGGGCTTGGAGAGTATGAGAACCTTAAAGAAACCCAACTTACTTTAAGATTTTGCTTTAACATCATGTGATGAGAAAGTTAGGTCAAAAGTGAAATGAAGCCAATTTTAAAGTCAAAACTGCTAACTTCAGGCAGAATATGGTTTGATTCTGAGCAGCTATTATAAGAACTGTTTTTCAGGGGAAAGAAAGTCAGGACACTGATGAGTTTATTATTCTCCAGGGACTATAGAGAAATAGCTGAGAAGAATGTCTGTCACATTAGAAATTCCACTCCAATAGCTTAAGCAATGTCACTAAGCTCCTTAATGACTTGGTGGGTGAATGTGAAGTTGACTGTATTAAATAAGAAGGAATTCACAAAATCTTATCAACATAACAGATACCTCTTTAGTGAAGCAGCTCTGTTGGATAACTGTACCAAACTGCCTTAAAGAATGAAATCAACAATAGAACACTTCTAGGCTCTTTCATAAAAGTCATGAGGTACATTATCTCCATCTATGAAGAATAAATACTTTGGTAATCTGATAAAGGCCTAATGTTCTAGTTCTCTTGACCTGACTTTTAGATGTTGGCAAGTGGAACTCATAGAAGTCAAAGGCCTAAGATTGCTTCTTCCTATAGCAGAGGTTTGTTTGAATTAAAAGTGATGCTATTTGTACAGTGCAGATCTCTAGTTATTGAAATATTAATGAAACTAATTTTTGACAAACTCCAATGGGAACTCTGTCTAATCTACAAGGAATAGGAGCTAGTATTTGGTAGAACTCTTTCAAGAGTTTCTGTGCAGAAGTACGAGCGATTATAGTAAAGCTATAGGCAAAGAAATGGAATTTTGTAAGTTATCAGTATATTTACGTATCTATTGAGAGAGAAATGACATATCTTCAAACTCAATACAAAACTGGTCACAACCAATGACTGAAAAGAAGGTTTGAGGTTTTCTAGATTTGTATTTGACTTATAATACAAGTCGAACCTGATAAGAAAAAATCTGATACAAATATTTCTTAGATCTAGAGTTGCATAGATAAAGTGAAAAAAAAGAAAGGCTAAATAGAAGCAAAGGCATCACTGGCACATGGGGCTTGCCCCAATTATATTTGTCAGTGCCCCAAATTCCCAGTTGTTGATGTCTTGAAAAATGAGAAAAAAAAATTATAATCAATGTCGTACTGAAATACCGAACATTCCAACAATTATGGGCCCAAGGCCCAGATCGTTTAAGTACCTAGCAATGCCTCTGAATAGAAGGAAAATAATAAAGGTTGTTTTAGAAAATGGTGAAGGTATTTTGCATATTATTACATTTTATTAAGTCTTGTATAAAAAACAATGAATTTTGAAGAAAGCTTTAAAAGAATATTTCATAAATGCATTCTTTAAAAGGTATAACCTTCATGTGTTTTTTAAAATAAGTCATTTAATCTTCTTTTAAAGGTGTATCCATATGGTTATTTTTAAAGCACATTTCTTAATAAGTGTCATTACATGCTCCATCTTGATGCTTCATGAGAGCATAACAAATACTTCTAAAACGCAATATTTAGCGTCTGTATTACTGGATAGTAAATTTATGATATTGTTTCAGTCAATTTTTTTCTTACAAGCTGTACACAACAACGTACAATAACATTAATGCCAGAAATAGTTTGGGGATTAAGTTACAAACAATGGTGCAATTTTATATAATTAATCGAACAACCTTAATATAAAAAAGCTGCTTCCAAAACTACACGTTTAAATCAAGATTCATTCCTCCAATCTAATAAATTTAATTAGATTAGACACACACAAACTTGTGTTAATCAAAGAATTGGCTCAAAACCATGCTTACTTGACAGCAAAAGTTTATTTAAAGATGAAACAGGTATTCTTTACATGACAAAATGATAAATTAACATGACTGAGATATATAATTAAAACTGGTGATAAAACAAAATTTAACCAAACAGATTTCATAAGTACCTTATTGTTACTGAATCTTATTAGAAACACAGAAAATACAATATTCTTCACTTTCTATACATAAAAGTATACAGAATTGAAAAAAATCTTAAAAATTGAAGCTTGAAGATGTAACTTTATGTAATACACCAACTATGTACTTTCTGTAAAGAAATTTAAATGTATCCAAGGTATTACAATACTTCAAATATTAAACTGTCAAAAACATTTTCATCACTAAAAAAAAAAAGTTTAATAAGTTTAGCTATTGACTTTTCTCTCTCTCTCTACAACCAAGAGATTAATTATGGTGCATGCCAGCTACAATGAACTTTAAATTGCCTATGTTCAAAATCTAAGCAACACGATTTCTTAAAATAGGGATATTACTCTATTTATTTATTTTGTTTTTAGAATTCTACAGTTAGGAGCATAAAGACATTGTTAATAAATTTATTTCAGTGTCATACTTGAAGAAGAGAAGTTAAAAAAAAAAGATATTACCACAAATTTGTGTATTTCACAAATGGTAAGAAATTATTACATACTACTTTTATGACAAATTAATCACAACATCTCACTAATTTCAATGCCAAGCCCTACAATTTTTTCTTTGAGCTCACTGGCCTTTTGTTTCTCCAAACATCTTTTAACATGAGGGAGGTACACTGTGGCTCCATCATCTGGCAATAGCTGAAGAAATGATTTCGGAGACAATAGTTCTGCTAAATGGGCTATTACACCTAAAAAAAAAACAAGAAATTGAAAAAACATTTTTCAACTGTATACAAACCTTCCCACAACTTTTTATAATACACAATTTGTTGATTATTGAAACAATAACTATTATACACCACAGTTTTCTAATATAATGTATCTGTCAAAAATTGGCTAAAACAAAAACACTTACTAGGTTAGAGTAGCTGTGACAATTGAGGAAAATACACATCATACATTTCTAATACAAATATGTGTGTGAAAAATAGGCTGAAAGAAACCACACTTTTTTATTTATTATAATTGTGTAAAGAGTGGGATGAATTAATTGCACAATCTTGATTGATTTAGATGTGGGCTAAAATAGTTAAAACAGACACCATACTTTCTTAAAATATATAAGAAATGGAAACACATAGTTTCTTGACTTGTGTAACTGTGTTAAGACTGTAATGAAACAGATATCATACTTTTCTGATTAGTCTTATCTGTAACAAAACTGGCTGAAACAAAAACCACATTTTCTTCATAACTGTAGCTATTACAAGAACCGGTTAACATTGACAACAATTTCTTAATTAGTGTAGTTATGTGAAAAGTGGTTGTTGTTGTTTGTTATTAAGCACAAAGGGCTATCTGTGCTCTTCTCGGTATGGGTATCGAAACCCTGTTACGAGCAGTACAAGTCCGCAGACATACCGCTGTGCCACTGGCGAGCGAACAGTGGCTGAAACAAAGACAGCTTTTTGTTGAGAATAAGCTGAAATAAACAACTTAGTGCACCTGTATAAGAATGAAACAAAATGCTAAGGTGAATGATATATAATTGATTTCATAACAAAAAAATTATATAAAAATAGAATGAAAAGTTCAGTGGGATAAAACAACATAGCCAGAACATTTTCATCATTTTACTCATATATATGTATACATATTTTTTTATATTCATTATAACAAAAAAGGGAAGTATTATATTTAAATTAAAATTATAATATGTACATAAAAATGTACTTTAATGATGAATTTGCAAAAATTAATGTTTCTGGTCAGAGCTGATGAAGCATTTTTGCTCTATATCAGAGCTCCAGCTGGCTGAATTACAACATATTCCTTGTTGAGATGCCACTTTTATCAGAAATATAAAGACTTTACAGGAACTAGTGTACAGTGTAAAGCACAATTTAATCCAAAACTAAAATTGTAATGAACAATCACAAAAACTGTGAAACTATTTTTAAAACATTTCAATTAAGTGGTTCAATTATTTGGTGTAAAACCTTGTTTACAACATCCTGTAATAATTCAGGTTAAAAGTTAACAAGAAGACTTTTTTTTGAGAACTCACATTGGTTATGTTGAAAAATATTTCCAGCTTTACTGTGATGTTTCATTGATGCTTGGTTTGGCATTTTATACATTTTAATGTACCCAGTAAATATATATAAATATAATGCACCAAACTACAGATAAAAACAGGAATAAAATATGTGAATATTGCAGTAGTTCTACCATAAAGAAAAATACAAATTAAATAGAAAAAATAAAGGATATTCTTGCAGAAAAAAGAAGCAAACAGAACAGTTTTACATCAACTGTCCTGGTTGCAGCCAACATATTTGTAGCTCAGTTGAATAAAATGTGTATGAAATATAATCGTATAAACTTTTTTATCCTTAGATGGAAGTATCCAGTTTTCATAGTTAATCACTTACATATAAAAGTTATTCAGTGCAAAGAAACAATAAATGTTATCAAGTTACTACAGTCTGATGTCAATCGAAAATATTTTTGCACACATTTAATATGAAGCAAGAAACATAATATAAAAATAATTATAATTAACTTCACTTGTTTTTTAATACATATTTCAACTTTCCTGCAAAAACAATAAACGTGTATTTGCATTGACAAATTTTATCATTTTCTTTGATAGATAAGTATAAAAACCAAAAATTGCAACTAAATTCACCCCAGGTTGTTTCCTTACTATAACTAGGTGGACAAAATCCATCCTGGAAATATTTTCATTGAAGGTTTACAGTGTAAAAAAATAGTAATCAAATTAATAAAACGAATACTAATCTCTTTTTACAGTTTTGATTTAAAGTTGCAAACATATGTCCAGTTGGTCTGAAGGATAAAAGAAAGAAAAACTAAGTCTATAGAACTTCATGTTTTACAGAATATAACTCACTCATCTAAAACATTTAATGGTATAAACAGGATACTATCTACACTTAGGAATACGAGTAAGTGTATTCAAGGTTGTATTCCTTAAATTCCACTTTCAATATATATTTGAATGTAATCACTATTTACGACTTCTACAAAAATGCTCTGAAAGCAATGCTCAAATTAGTTGAAAAGCAAAACCATGATGAGATATATTTTACCCACAGTAAATAATCTATTGTTGTTGTTGTTGTTGTTTAGATAGATTAGTTGCTCCACCATTTGAATCTCTCAAGATATACCCCATACATTGTTTTGTTGTCTTAGTAAACAGAAAACAAAAGTTCTATGATGTTAAAGCACGTACTAGGATTAGCCATTAAATATGTTCTAATCACATTTTTTGGGGTTATGAAAAGCTATAACTTTAAAATGGCCAAATTCAAGAACTGAAAAATATTTACATTCCTTCCAATTCTGTTTCTAACATCCAACTGAAACACTGTAGATAACATTTCTTAATTACATGCAAAACATGTATTAGTTTTATAGGTTTTGCACATTACACACTAAATGTAAGGTTAGATCAAATATGACAACATATTTACTTTTCTGATTTTCCAAGATGTGGGAACCTTGAAATCAGTCTTGTGAATACAGTGTAAGATTTAATGTTCTGTCATTGCAAAATAAATAAACAGCATTTTAGCAACTTACTCTTACTACTGACTTTTTATAACGAAATATTTTTAACTTGTGCATGGAACAAATATTTTAATGATACTTATTATTCTGGGATGACAAATACCTATGAACAAGTTATTGATTTTATGTAACATAATCTACATGCAAAAGAAGTGCATTTCATGCATAAAACTGTTCTAAAAAATTATGTTGTAAGTAATAATAATAATAAGGAAAATACATCCAGATCAATTCCGCATCCACACATACAATACCTTCATGGGCTTCAATTATGTCTTTTCTTCTTGGAATTTCTTTCAATATCTTGTCCACTGTTCTGTACAGCTTACACCACTTCAAGGTTATATAAATAATTTTGAGTAATTTTTCAAATTTATTATTTCAAAATAAGTAATTATTTTATATAAAAAAAACCAACAAAAGTTTCAAAGATATCTTATTCAAGAAATACACCATTGATCATAACTTTTTACTATGTGAATAAATTTTTATTGAAAACAAAATAACAATTTAACAGATAAGATATAAAATTTGCTATAACATGATATCTTTTGTAAGAGCACTTTAATAGATTCTCTTGAACACAGGTTTCAACCTATCTTTTTGTAAAAATAACTTAACTCCTTCCATATTGGGTTGAGCAATGTGACTGACCTTGTAATCACAAAGAAATAATCACTTTTCATACTATAACTTTAAATATGTTTTGTGTATCTTAACAAAATTTTGCAAGCTTTCAGTACACATTACAAGTTCTTCTTACATGTCTTTGTACATGAAAAAAATCGGATATTTTAATCAAGTACTTTTACTTAAAGATTTGTCCTTAAATATATGGAATCAGTGTGTTCTGAGTGCAAAGAGATTTTTATGTTAAGGTTAAAAATACTTTTCTTCCTCTGAAAATTTTCTAACTTCATTTGTGTAACATCTAAAACTTCTAAAAAATAAATATCAAAAGTTTTTGTTTTCAGTAAAACTTGGATCTTATCTGTTATTCTTTCTATCTTAACTGTACATGGACTCAGTCGATTTGACGAACCTTATAACACCATAAAAAAAATTCAAATAAATCTAAATTAATATTCTTGCTTTCTAAAATGGCTGCAGATTGTAACAGAAAACTACAATTGTTTATCCTAAATAGCTTAAAGCTCATAACAGTCTATATCTGTTTATATTTACTTTGATTGTTTTATTGCCCTTTGAACTGTGCACATGTCTAACAAATAATCCTGCAACACTTAGCAAACTTGTGGCTCATGTTACCACAGTGGATGATGTAATGCATGAGCTGCTCGTGAGTATACCTCATGCAGGATTTTTATTATTATTATTTTTTCATTATCTTACTTGATCTAACCTAACAAGTTTCTAATTTTTACATTTTAGTTACTTCTATAGCCATAAGTAAAGAATAAACACGAAAAACAAGAAATATAGTACTTACCTTGGACCTCATGTTTTTTGCTGTCAGTTGCCAAGGAAATTTAAGCCTACTTTTTTAGAATGATGGTACTAGTACACTAAATAACTTTTATTTATTTAAATAATGCACCTAAGAACACAAAATAATAACACACACAAAGCAAACAATGTCCTACAGCTACTTGATCTGAATACCACAAGATAAGCTTTCAAACTGAAGATGCAATTGACAATGCAATGTCAGTTGATAGATTAAAACTTTCTATTGGTTATAAATGATATAGTATAAAATGTCAGAAAAAATTATTGACAATTTGTGAAAGAGAGGATGTGACAAGTGGGTCTGATTTTCTAGTTTATGGCTCTGTAAATAAATAAGACTGAAGGCTATAAAAATTGGACCTTGCCTTAGTAATATCTGTATTACAATGAGTAATATACATTAAATTATATATTTCAGAGAGGAGTGGTAAACAAATTAGAAAATAGGGAAACCTAGTGAACAAATGTAATGATTCTCATACTTATATAATATCAAATTTGATTTATTAACTACATTTTGATGCCAATTGTATTTGTATGCACTGATAATAAAGTAGTTTAATTAAAATTTAAATTTAACTCTGTAAAAGTTCATTACTTGCACACTCTGACCTAGTTGTAGCAAAAGGGTTAACAGATTCTCTTGGACATGTTTCAACTTTGTAATAAAAATGTGTATTAAATCCATCATTTGACAAAAAAAAAGTCAGACCATGCCTTACTTCATCTGGATTATCACCAATATTATCACGTGCATAAAGCAAGAGGGGTTTAGGGCACTGTTGGATAAGCAACAACAAGGCCTCTTCCATCTCAGAACACAACACCTTGAGACTAAGGCGTCCTCTTACAGAAAGTGTGAGTTTCTCAATCACATCATGCAGTTGTGTCTTGACTTTGGAGGTATTATATGGAGAACACAGCAGTGACTAGGGGAATAATATGAAAAACAATCAACAAAGTAATTATAAGTAAAATAACAGCTGTATATCATGAAAATATTTTAGTACCAGATATATTTAAAGTCATATAGATGGAATTTTTCAAATGTTTTTGGCTTTTCCAACCAACATTAATACAGTATGTTAATATTTTCACACTGGACTTGAAAGCCTCACAGTTTAAAACATTTCAACTATTTGAGCATACAATATTAGTTTATCACATATTCAAATATAGATACAAAATAAAAACATCCATTCAATTTAGAGAAGCTAAAATTCTTTATTATCATACTTTCTTACTGCAACAGATTTTTGATTCAACATTAATATTTTCAATTAGTTTATTCATATATCTTGAGGTATTTAATTACTAAAATCAATATAACATTATTTATCATTACAAAACATATTTTTAAAATCCTTTTTATACCTTTTGCCTATCAGTGGTTTCAAAATTATTAACATTGAAAGATTTGTTTGTTTGTTTGAAGTTAAGCATAAAGCTACACAATGGGCTATCTGTGCTCTGCCCACCATGAGTATTGATAGTATTGAAACCCAGCTTTTAGCACTGTAAGTCTGCAGACATACCCCTGTGTCACTGGGTTTAGTAGCCTATATAATAATCTTATTCTAATTATCAATTAGAAATTCATTTTTTATTTTACTTAACTAGATATTACTTACTAACTACTTTTTATCCTTTGTTTTGGCTGCTAATCTGCCTTATTCAGAGAAGTACTGAAAAGAGCTATTTCTGTGTTGGTAATGGCCAGCCAAGATTTGATCCTGAGCCTTCTTGATGGAAGTTTGTTGCTTTATCCAATTTCCTGAATTACCTAATTGCTTTCAAGAGTGATATTTAGGTTTTTCTGACTTCTATGCTAGGTTGTCTTAGAGTGTTATCAGTTAAGTGAATGTTGAAAGCCTTTTTTTTTACATTTCTTTTTCTCATGTGTGGTTTATATCATATCAATTTGGTATTATTGAAATTTATCAAATATATTTCTGCTTTAACATTATGGATTATTGCAGATAGTGAAGATAAAACTATTTAATCACTTCTATATGGACAAATTCAAAGCTAACACCCTCAAAACAGCCAATCTATGTTCCAAGGTTCGGCTCAGGAATGTTGATGATACATTTGTAATATGGTCATACAATACAGATAAGATTCAAGAATTGATGAATTACCTGAATATCCCATGATACAATTTACAAATTGAATACAAAAGAATAGTAAACTCTCTTCATTGAAGTAATTGTTAACAAGATACATAACTCATATACCATAGGGGTTGACAGAAACCCTTAGATAAATAAGGGTAAATACCTTGACTACAAAACAAGTCAATCCAAATATGGATAGAGAGGTTTGGTAAACTGCTAGTTTACAGAATGAAAAACATTTCTAAGACCATAAAAGTAAAATATATTACTACTATACTACTTAACAATGGGTATCAGAAATGCTTGATAAAGAAAAATAATACAGATAAACACCAAGAATAAACAGGAAGATAATTACAACCATATTTCCCTTTGTCAAAGGTCATACAAACAACATAAAGCAGAGCAGTACTCAGAAGCCACCACACCAGTTAAAGACCCAATGGAGAAGAAAAATCCTATTTACAACAGAGACCAAAAGTTAGTATTCATTAGTATAATAGAAATACACAATTCTGTAGTACCAATCTATCTACAATAGCCAAATCATGTTAGTGGAGAAAACCAAATGATAAATTGGAATAATACTGAAATGAAAGGTTATGAACCACACATGAAAAAAAGAAAGATAAAAGAAACCTTCTACATCCACCTAATTGATAACACACATGGTCAACCCTCAACAGAAATTAGCTAAATCTGGATTCCCCTCTTGAAACATTGAAATAGTTAGTTGATTTAAGTTCTAACTAGTCAAGTGGATAATGTGCCAGACTTCAACCAAGAAGTTCCAGGATCAAATTTCATCACTAATACCACAAAAACTATCCTTTTGATGACTTCCCTGGTGATGATTAGCAGCCAAAACATAGGATCAAAACTGTTCTGAAGGTTTAAAACAGTTACTGCATCACCTCAGTTCAATGGGGGTTGCATTTTTCAAACAAGTTTTCTATTAAACCAGACTTACTTACAAGTAATTTTGTAACCATGAAATTTTTAATGTTCCACCAGAGGGTACTAATACTTTGAATTCTAATTCTGTTAGTAGGTGACAAAATGCTTCTAATATGTTCAACAACATATCCTAAAAAAAATGTTTTAATAAACAAAATATGCTCAGAGTGCTAATTGCATGATTGGAACTAAAGATACTTACTTGTAACCTCAACAAATATTGGTTACAAGACCAACATAAACACTGTTCTTCAATTTCTTGTTGCATGCCACCTCGATGATGTGCTGTGCATGTTCGACTAACACTAAGTCCTGTAAAATTAACACAAATAAAATAAAATTTTAATTTTATAACAATTATCAGGATGTAGTACATATTAAAATATTTAACCTAAATTACTACAATTGTATTTACACTTACACATTTATAAATATGGAAAAGAAGGCTATTTCACTTACTTAAAATTATCTTGTTAACCAAATGTGACATGAAAATTACATAAATTGTTTGACTTTGCCACTTAGATAAGTAAAAAAATTCTTATACTGATAAGCAGTAAATTTGCCCTATGTCAAAAAAATATCAGTCAGAAATAATGTTTACAAGTTTGGAAGAAGAGCTGTTAAAATTAAACTAGTATGATATTGAAACAAATCTTAACTCTTTTATAATGTAACACACACCTACAGGTGCTTGTTGTTTGTTCATAACAATCCTAGTTACAGGTAATGCTTGTTTGAAGTTAAGCACAAACTTACACAACGGGCTATCTGTGCTCTGCCCACCACAGGTATCGAAACCTGGTTTCTAGCATCATAAGTCCACAGACTAACCTCTGTGCCACTGAGGGGCTACAGGTAATGCACTATCTTAGTTTGTTCCATTTACTGTAATCTTCACAAAATCTTTTGATTGTCTAATTTTTGTTAAACACAAAGCTACACAATAAGATATCTGTTTTGTGCCCATCAAGGGTATTGAAACCCAGTTTTTAGTGTTATAAGCCTTCAGACATACCGCAGAGGCACTGGTGGGCTCTTTTTTTTCACAGTGAAATGTTAAAATTTTAGTTTATGTTAATCACATTTTCTTACCATTAAATGGGGGCATTTCCTTCAACCACATCTGCCTGGTTCCAAATATGGATGATGACTTACTCTGTAAAATATATGATACCAGTAAAATAAGTGTGATATGAGGCATGCACTTTACCTTTAGTTTTTATCAGGTACTAGCTTGACAATTGTTGTTAATCATACACTGCCTGAAGGTGGCCCCTTACTATTGGCTGAAACATTGCAATAGTCCAGCCCTAGACTCAATTGAGCACTTGAGTGTGGCACAATTATCGAACTGGGATAAAGTTGTGGCCAAGTTTTGCTAATGGTTCTGTCTGGTAGAAAATCTAGCAATCCATCAGGCTGACTTCAAGCTCAAAACAGGGGTGCTAACAAGAGCTTACTTACTTATCTGTATTCAAATTCAATGACAAGGAACCCACTTTGAGAGTAATAATTGTTGGAAATGGCTTGAATGGGTAATGAAGAAAAACTTTAATATAAGTTTAACATAACAGCAAATGTACAACATTTCGACAAGGTTTTTGTCATCATCAGGTATGATGCTTACTCTGACTTTGACGTCATACGCCTGATAGAATTTGACAGGGCTCCAGCATGAATGATGATTCATTCAGGTGATGACAAAACCTTGTCGAAACATTGTACATTTGCTGTTATGTTAAACTTATATTAAAGTTTTTCTTCATTACCCATTCAAGCCATTCTTTGGTGTTTGGTTGCATGTTTATCTGCAGCTGAGAACCTAAGAATGGTACTAGAATGTATAAAAAAGGTAAGTATGAAACAGAAACCAGGAAAACGTGTGCTTGTGTACATGGTTTTGGTCATATTGTAAATATAGATGGAGTCTGGATAGGACCTGCTAAGATAGAAGTGGTGTGATCAAGTAAGAAGACTGTATCTTCCTTGATCTTGTGTCATATTACAAATGATTTTTTTACAATTTCTCCAATATTGCAGCACCACTGTCTGCTCTCACTAAAATTGAGATGCACTTGAGATACAGTGAAGAACTTGAACAGGTATTCTGATTCCCTAAAGTACAATTTAGTAGAGGCTCCAGTGGTTCATATCTGGTACAAGACAGCAAGTTCCTCTTGGACACTAATGTCAGTGATAATGGAATCAGAGCAATGTTATTGGATCTACAAGATGGAGTTGAACATGTAATCAAGTATGTTAGTCATATGCAAACAGCTCTTAAATGCAGGAGCAAAAAATTTTTGGAGTTATAGTCTTCTTGAATCACAACTGATACTACTTGCAACATACAATTAACCCCATGTTGGATGTTGTATGTGTTCAAAGTGCATTTCATGACCATCTTATAGAATTACCCTCAAAATTAAAGAACTATATTATTAATGAATGTCAATAGACTTAACATCAAAACATAATTTAAAATTAAAATTTTATATCATGTTTTAATTTCTTAATTTCAAAAGGAAATATTTAGATAAGTTCTCAATCTGCACTTCTCAGATCATGACTTGTCATATCTTCTCTTCCCTTACAGATTATTCAATCAATAACAAATACATGCTATAGTCAACTATTTTTTTTTTACTTGACATATCCCTCCAATATTTTCTGTCTTACAAGAAATGTCTATAATTCATGCTGACATTGTTATTAGACATGATTATAATCAACAGAAAGATCAATTTTAGATTATAATTCATATGACTGTCTCTCTTGTTTCAGTTGTAAAAGTTGATAATTTATGGTCATAACTCATTGGTTTTGGACAGATGACATTACTCAAAAACGTAATGAAATATTTTTAACCTATTTAGAGGTAATAAAGAAAGCCAGCTAAAATATATTAGTTTTTGGACAACTAACATATTTGTGAAAAAAAGTCTTAATAAAGTATGTTTTAGAGTACATATAAGCCTATAAGTAACAGTAGTAAGTGATAAATTTCTTGTTTTGATATATATATATATAAATGTATCAAATTTATCAAAATGTAAAAAATTAGAAACTTATTAAGTTAGATAAGAAAACTTCAATGAAAAAAAAACAATTTCCCCTTGGGTTATGCACTTGCACATGAGGAGCACTTATGACGAATCATCGTAACTTCATACTTTGTTTACATAACTAATTTCTTGTCAGGTGATTTATGGCTTTGTTAAGATAATTACACATAGTTCAAATAGCAATAAAACAATAAATTTAAATGAAAACAAATGTAAACTGTTTTGAACCTGAGGTTGTTTGGGATAAATAATTGTAATTGTCTGTTACAATCAGCAGTCTTTCTAGAAAAAAATATGTACTTTTCGTTTTATTTCATATTTTTTAACTTTCACAACAAATGATCTTCTTACAGTTAGTATTAGGTTGGAAAAAATAAGAGAGAAAATATCACTTTGCACTCAGACTTGTCAGAGTCTGAACCAGACTGATTTTGTAAATTCACAGACAGAACTTTAATAAAAATGCTTTATTAAAATTATAAATTTTATGGGTACAACATACTTGTAATGTTTATTAAAATTCTCCCAAATTTTGTGAAGGTGTTCTTAGTAAATTTTTATTCATAACAAAAATTATGTATAGCTTCATAGAAGCTGGGTTGATGCAAATCACCAATATCATATACACAGAGTCATTGAACTTTAGCAATCTGGATGGGATAACAATTTTGCAATTATATGCCTTTGTCATGGTGCATCACCCTAATCAGCAACATGGAAATGCCAATGGATTTTTCTCCACATGGTGAGACCCTGTCCATCTATTGACAGTCCTGACACTGTATACTATGTGGAATTCGAAACTATCTTTGCCATAATAACATCACTCCATATAATATGAGATTTCACTAGTGGATGGAAACACAATTAATGTTTTGGGAGCTCTGGGAGGAGCAACTGAGGACCAGATCCAGCATGAATTTTCCTTGCTGTGCAGCAAGGTCAAGCCTGACCAGCTCAGATTGAGGAATGTAGCACAGATACATGTAACTTAAGGCATGTGTATGAGCAGTAATAAGTGAAGGAGGGTATGCTGTACCATTGTTATCATCCACTTAGCCATAGTTCTCAGTCTTTGCTGCAGCTAATGGTCCCCAGAACTTTGAGGCACAAAGTTTTCCAGACTTTGTTTAACACAAAGACTTGTGCTAATGTTTACTGGTGGTTTGACTGGGCACATTCGAGTTAACCCAATGACTACCGGCTACTAACTTTCTTAGTAGGCAATGCAAGTCTTGCTATATTTCATTTCCAACAATAAAACTAGTAGAAGAATATTTTCGAAAATTCATAAGTACTTTGA